TTTTGTATAAAGAATAACCAGCAATATGCCAACACTTAAATCCAACCCCTTATAAAATTGGTTTGGTTGTATGGATATTATTTTGTTCAAATCGAACCTAAAAAATCAAAAAATTAAGAAGACAAAATTATCATTTTAATTTTATTACAATATTTTATTATACGTCTTTTCATAAAAAATTAAAAACTTATCTCAAATTTCTACTTTTTTAATATAAAAATATACTTATGCAACATATCTCAAATAACTATATTCAAGCCTAGATCTAAGAGCTTCCTTACTGACAAATCCATGAGCGGACGAGAGGAGTGGCGGTGACCAGTAAGAAATGGAGGGGAAAGAAATGCGACAAATGTCGTTCTCTCCTCCTTAAACAGCAGATTTCAAAGAAAAGGCGGAGGGAGAGAGGATTCTACATAAGGTTGGATTGTGAAATTACAAGAATTGTAATATTAAAGGTAGAGATGCAAAATAAATTATATTTATTTTGTGTTATTATTGTGGTATTAGTTGATTAATATTAAGTCTATGAAATTTTATAAAAAAAAATAATGTAAAAGTCTTCATTATATAAAGAAAAATGCTAAAAATGGTTCTTAAGTTTCGCTTGGCAACATCACTTTTTTAGTTTAAAACTCAAAAAGTCACTAAAAAAATTAAGAAATCAATAACTTATGCAAAAGAGTCAAAGATTTCAATTTTTTTTTTTACTTTTTGTACATCTTTTCGTAAAAATTAAAAATTCATCCTAAACACACTAATTTTTTTTATATCATATTTTAACCTAAAACTCAAGAAATTAGTAAAAAAATCTATTTCTAAACGAGTCCTTAGAATTGTTGTTAGTGTTAAAAAAGTATGTAGAAAAAATGTATTAAAATGAGTGAAAGTGTTTTGAAATGTGTAAATTGTATTGATATTATAAATATTTTGACATTTTGTATTTATTTACAATATTCCTAAATAGACACTTATTTAAAATGTGACTTTATTATTTTTATAAATTAAGATTAATAAAAAAAAATTCTCCTCTAATTTCAACTCTCATAGTCCCATTCTTTTAAGGAGAATTTAAAATTCAGTGGTAATTTTTTTAAAAAAAATTACAAATTTACTAAAAAATTTAATATTTTAATTATTAAAATTTTTAAATTTTATCATTGATTTGTAATATTTTTTCCATACTTAGGCTCTGTTTGTTTCGACGTAAAATATTTTACACAAAAAAAAGTTTTTATTTTTATTTTTTGGCATTTGGTTGACACTTGAAACCAAAAAAATAATACTAATACTAATACTAATAATAATAATAATAATATTGCTTAAAAGAGAAATTTTGATTCAATGAAGTTTCATTTATGACTTTTTAATTAGTTAAAATACTTATTCGAAAAGGCTAAATGTGTTGAAAATGTATTGAGTGAGAGACAACTTTATAAAAATTGACTTACATAATTTTTAAAAATAAGTCATTTTTGAGAAAATGATACAAAAATATTTTACTTCCTTTTTGTTCAAACAAATAATGAAAAATGAGACAAAAATATTTTACGACAAAACAAACGGAGCCTTACCTATGTAGTTATTTCCCCTTATGTTTAATCTCATGTGATTTTTGTCAACCAAACATGATTTTATAAAAAAAATTTACGTCAAAACAAATGGATCCTTACTTGTGTAGTTATTTCATCTTCATTTTAATTTCATGCCATCTTTATCAACCAAACATGATTTTATATGCGGTTCACTCTAGATTCCAAATCCGATTCCATCATTTGTGGAACTAAACAAACATGGCTTAAAAACTCAAGAGTCCTTCTACAAACCCGGTTTTGTTTGGATTAAGAATTGAGTAAGGATTTACAAAGAGAATAAAAAATAAGGAAAAATTAATGAAATATATGTTAAATTTTGTTCACTTTTCCATTCTCTTTTCATTTCTCTTCCAAAATCCGTTAATAATTTAGTGTGTAGTTTATTTGAGATCCCTAATATTTTTGAAAAAATTTGTCAGATATTGTGCAACATTTTGTGATTATGTGTTCATAGCATATATAATTTTAAGAGAAAAATAGAAACGAAATAAATAGCTACCAAACAAATACTATTAACACACCCACTTCATAAGTTTAGAAAATGGACTCTCATCAGTAGAGTTCCCACCCATCTGATAACATGTGATAAGTTTAGAAAGTAGACTCTACAGGAGTTAGGCAAGTTGGAAAATATGATTTTATAGGCTAATTTTGGGGCCGACATGTCTTTTGGGATGGGTTTAGAGAGGCGACGTGTTCTTTGCCGTATGACAAGTTACACAATGAAGATGTTCGTCTAAATCATTTATGAGTGAATGAAAAGTTAACGTCGTTTTCGGATTTTTGAAATGGGAAGTTGAAGAGCCAAATATGGGTTTCCTTAAATTGGTTGTCACACATTAAAACTTTGAGAGAGTTTGTGGAAATATATAAGTTCTAGGTAGATATACTTGTTATGCTCCAAGGGGCACCCCAAGTTTTGTAAAGAGGGGAGTTATAGACAAAGTGGGCTTTGGCCCAAACCACCACACATGCGCGCACTGTCGCTGCCGCTACCATCCGATCGAGCCGTGCTATGCGGGTTGTGGGTTGGGTCCTAACTTTAATTTTTTGAACAAAATTTATTTAAACTGGGAAAATTTGAATTTCCAGTGAAATTAATTCAAATTTTAAGCCAAAATTCAAATTCGATTTTTCTATCTGAACCAATGCCTCTCTCCGATCACATTCCTTCCCTATCCGGCAATTCACGTTTCACACCTGTTCGGAAGGATTTTTTACCCTTCTGAACAGGCACCTTTGTGCCTATAAATAGAAGACCTTTTCTAACAGATTTTCTTATTCAATTTTTGCTTCTGGTTTTCTTCTCTCCTACATATATTCCTCATATTAGTTTATAGAATTTTCAGAGTTATAGAGCATAGGTTTGGTTCTCCGAACAAATTGTTTGTAGTGCTACTACAATCTGTGTAAGATCATTGTATC